TTTTCCATCCCTTCCCTCAGCCTGGCTGGCACCGCACTGTGTGCAGGGCAGACGTTGCCCCTGCCCACCCTGGGCTTTGGCAGCCCCACAGCGCCCATCGCCGTCCCATCTCCATTCCGTCCTCTGGCCGCTCTGTGGCTCTCTTGCTGTCTGTCCCAGCTCATCTGGAGTAGCCCTTCCTCCATCGGACAGGGAGCTCCCCAGGACCGGGTGGTGCCTCCTCCTTCACCCGGGAGCTTCCTAAAGCAGGCTCTGCAGATGCCATTAGCAGGGGCTGTGCTCCTCCCCTGCACTCTGCGTGGCTCTCCCATGTCCCTGAGCAGAGGCAGGACCTTGGCTGTCCCCCTCCCCCTTGGGGCCATCTCCAGCCCGCACCTGGCCCTGAGGACTGCGGCACCCCCGGCAGCTGCGGAGAGCGGGGAGGAAGCCGCAGCTGGCCAGGAGGCCACTCCTGCTGCCACCTCAAGTCTCGCATCTGATAATGAATGCGTGCCCATGTCCCCTGTCCCCACAGATCTCCTCCCCGCGCCAGCTGCCCATGCTTCACCAAGAGGTGACCAGCTTTCAGTGTGCAGAGGACTCAGTCCCGCCAGCAGGGTCGCTGTGGCCAATTCCACTTAATCCTGCTGATCAATTTAACGTGGAGGCAAAGGGTAGCTCAGCCAGGAGCAGGGAGGCGCCCAAGCCGGGCACAGGAGACCTAATCAGCGCCTCTCCTGTCCCTTCTTATGCTAATTTTGCCCTGTTCTGCTGCTCCTCCCTTCTTGTTATCATCATCAATAAAAATAATTGTCCTTTCCATAGAAAGGACAATTTTGTCCCAAATTTCTCGTAAAGTCTTTATTTGGTTCCACAGTTTTGTTTTGGGGAGACAGGGTCTTGCTATGAGTTCAGGCTCTCCTTGAACTCACCATGTAGCCCAGGCTGGCCTTGAACTTGTGGTGATCATCCTGCCTCAGCCTCCTGAGTGCTGGGATTACAGGCATGTGTCACCAAGTTTGGCCTTTATCCCAAGTGTGGCATGTGGAGAGGTATTTTGTCCTCATTTTTATAACTGAAAAACCAAAAACCAGAGAGGGGAAGTGATTCACCCAAGGCCACACAGCAAGGGGAAAGTCAGAGCTCAGCCTGTAGGACTCAGGTCTGCAAGGCCAAAACAGCTGACCGGACCAGGGCTGTCCATAGGGCCCTCTAACCAGCTCCCAAGTAGTGCTCTGCTCCTCGTCCCTCTTTAGCACAGGAACTAAGTCCGGGGCACACTGTGCGCCTTCTTCAAAATGACTGAGCCTCTCTGAACTCCATTTCTGTTCATCCAAGAACCCACAGTCCCAGCTTCGTGGACTTATCGCTCCAGACCAGCACTGAGACGCATCCCTGGGATGGGGGTCTCTTCCCCTGAGCTGGGCTGGGGTCGGTGGAAGCTCTTTGTCAGGGGGCTGAAGCCACCAACAGGCTGCTGTCCTGTTCTCATGCGATGTCTGGGGCTCTCTGGGGGCAGCAGGACAGACTTGATCTTCTTTCTCAGCATCCAGAGGGTCGTTATGGCAACACCCCATTGGCAAAGATGAGGACCGTCCTGGGTCCTCTCGAACAGCAGGCACCTGTGGGTCCCGCTTCGATGCTCGCTCTGGTCTTCTGTCTGGCTGTGGGGTTTGCAGGTCCCACCAGGTGAGGGGCGGGAGAGTCACGAAGATGTGGCCCAGCAGCCCTCAGTGCATTCAGAAAGCCTCCAGTAGTGTGGAGAATGGGGCACAGCGGGGCGCTGGGAGGATGCCAGGGCCAAGCCAGAGAAGTGCTTTGAACTTTGAACTTTGCCCCTCGTCCAGTACAGACCGGATGCTGACCGCCTGCTAACGGTGTTCACACTGTGGCCACAATGCATTGGCCTGATATTTCTTGAACAACTCTTTAAAGTTTTGTCTTCTAAAAAGCACTTTAAAAACCCTGATTCACGGCAGTGAGTGTTTGTCAGTGGCAGAGGACTATCAGTTCCCGTAAATGGACGGGAGCCAGAAAGACAGTTGCCATCCAAGCAAAAGGTTCCACAAAATTCTGCCTCGAGACTGGTCTGCAGGGGAGCTCTGTGCTGTGGCCTCCCCTCTCTGCTGAGAAGGGGGAACATGCAGGGTGTTGTGGCGCCTGGCCTACTCAGGAGGCTGAGGCAGGAAGACTGCACGTTCTAGGCAACTTAGCAAGACCCTGTCTCAAAAAAGCAAATCAAAAGAGGAAGGAGAATGTGTTAAAGGCAGTGTACGGGGCTGGGGCTTTAGCTCAGCGGCATAAGCGCCTGCCTTGCAAGCAGGCGGTCGTGAGTTCGATCCCCGGTACCGGTAAAAAGTTAATAAATAAATAAATAAATAAATAAAGGCAGTGTAGGCTGTGCGGTCAGGTAGCTATCAGCCACATGGGGCTCTACAAATTTGACTTAAAATTAAACAAAATGAGGAATTCAGTTCTCGGTTACACCAGGCAGGTATCCTGTGCTCCACAGTGTGCGCCTACTGTGACGCTCAGACAATTGGATCTAGGGGGTTCCTGCCATTGTGGAAGGTTCTGCTTGGACCTAAACTGGGGCTCCACCAGATGGGGATTCCTGCAGGTCAGGGCTGTCTGCTCCGTCGGACTGGCACCCTCCTCCCCTACCTGACCACTGGCTCTGAGTACAATCTCTGCCTATGGATTTTACTCCCAACAACACTGCCTGAGCTCGAGGGTCCCCTCAGAGGGACCAGCCTGGTGCCCATTCCTGCCTCCCTGCCAGGGCCCACTCCCTCCTCCCAGGCCTCAGGGCTGGCTCTCCTTGTCCCCATCAGAAAAATAAGATTATGCTGTGAGTTCCAGGAAATGAATCCTTGGGATTGGCTGCATTTGGCTCTGAGCCCCAGACGTGCTGGGGAGGGGGCTCAGCCAGCTGTGCCCGCCCTGGTCTGCTCTCGGTGATAGGGGGAGGCTGGGCAGCTGGCAGCCCTGGCTGGGAAAGAGCAGAAGAAGAGTTGGATCTGACCCCAGGTCCCTCCTGGGGGGATGAGCCAGGCAGTGGTAAAGGGGGCTATTGGTTCCCTGCTCAGGTGGCACGGTGTCACAGTGGGGACAGCCTGGGACTGGACAACAAAATGCCGTCCCAGCAGACGAGATGAAAGAATGAAGGGGGGGAAACAGGGGCAGAGGGACGTTGCCTGAGACTGGATGACCTTCCCATGTATGACCTCCACGTGCTGGTGCGCCTGGCCATGGACATGGCGCCATGATGAAATTACCCATCATGCCCTTGGATGCACGGGGCCCTCGTGGGAGGGCCTAGGTCGTTCAGTAACCGACACTTTGTGCAGAGAGAGGGTGGCCCTGGGTTGGCGAGCAGTGAGGGAGAGCAGAGTTTGAGCACCCCTGTAGACACTCGGAAACTGGGTTTTTTACTCTGCCTTTCTGGGACTCAGTTTACCCCATCTGTAGTATGAGCTCATGGTCTCTGAGCCTTTCCCAACCCAAGCCAGAATCACGTCTGACTGGGCGCTTCCAAGTGAACAGCAAGTACCCTGATTGATGAATGAATGAATGATGAGAAAAAGCGCCTCCAGGAATTTTGAGACGGGGGAAAAGGAGAAATGAAGACAGGGCGAAGAGGGTGAAAGCAGGCAGGACGGGGCGAGGGAAGGCAGTCCCCGCGCGGTGCTTTCTCTGCCCTCCCTCCCGCTGCTTCTCACAGCCCGTCTTCCTCACTGCCCTCAGACCCCAGGGGCTGCCGTGGGTACAGCTGCACCCCTGCTGGGCTGGAGTTGGGGGCTGCGGTGGGGAGCCAGCTTATTGCCCAGGCTCTTGGTCCAGGCAGCTGAGATGCTTGATTAGGCCCTTCCTGCAGCCTTCCCAGGCCAGACCTAGCAGGAGCAGATTCCTGGCCTGACAGCACCCTCCACAGCTGGGAAGGGAGCTGGCTTCAGCCTCCCGGGCTCTCTGCACAGGAAACAAGAAACCTTCACCTCTCCACACTCCAGAGTAGCAATTAGTGGGCGGGATGAAGTGAGGGCCATGGTCACCTAGCCAAGGTCACCTCCTCCAGCCCGGAAGGTCTCTCAGTGGTCTTGGACCATCCCAGGAAGGGCCTGTCACAGTCCAAGCCCTTCCTGCTACAAATTGGGAAACTGAGGCTCCAGGAGGGGAGATGGCCTTCCTCGGGCACCAATATCTAGAGCAGAGCTGGCTGGTCTGAGCTTCCCATAACCAGCCCTGATGCCTGCGGCAGCCTCCTCCCTCCCTCGTTCCCTCCCACTTGCTTCTGCTGTTAGCTCTTCCACCATTTCTAAGCCAGCAGCGTTCTTCTCTAAATGATCATCATTTAAATACTCAACTATGAACAAATGCAGGAGCCAGGGCTTTAGCTCATGGCACAAGGCCCGCCTGGCAAGCGTGAGGCCCTGAGGTCAGTTCCCAGTAACCCCTCACCCCAACAAAAAACAAAAAATAAATATAAAGCAACAACAAAAAAACCCCCAGTGTTAAGAGGAGGGTGCTAACGTTTGAACCTCAGTGTTCACCAATGCATTGTGGGCTTTTCCTTAGCACACAGGTTCCTCCCTTGCTTTTTATCAAAGTCGGGTTTATCGAGGCATATTAACATATGGGGAAACTGTCCCTGATTTGGAGAATATATTGCATGAATTTTGACACGTATTTTAGCAGGAAGCCTCCCCGAGTATCCTGTCATGGGCATCCTTCCACATCAGCACAAGTAACCTAAATGCCCAGCTATAGATTGGCTTTCTATAAAACAGAATGGTCCTGCTGGGAAGTATCCATCAAGCCCCTAGGGCTGGGCACGGAGGCTGCTGCCCTCCTGGTAAACCCTTCCCAGCTGGGCCCTCCGAGGTGCTGGTTAAACAATGCTGGTGGGAACATCCTTCTGCCTCGGGCTTGGGCGGAGCAGTGCAGTGCACTGGGGTGGCCGCAGTCGGCCTGCACCCTCCATGTCTCTAAGCCCCGGCCCTGTCCTCCCCCTCCGGCCACAGGGAACCGACTGGACGAGGGCTCAGATGTGGAGTCGGAACCCGACCTCCCGCTGAAGCGAAAGCAGCGCCGCAGCCGGACCACGTTCACAGCCGAGCAGCTGGAGGAGCTGGAGAAGGCCTTTGAGAGGACCCATTACCCGGACATCTACACCCGCGAGGAGCTGGCGCAGAGGACCAAGCTGACCGAGGCGCGCGTCCAGGTGAGAAGGTGCCGGGCAGTGCCCGGAGTATCCCAGACACCAACTGAGGGGATCATGAATTCAGTGGGCCCCGCTGGGGGCCGGTGACAGGAGATCTAGGGGCCACAGCCCCGATGCAAAGTCAGCAGGCAGCAAATGTTAGTTGACTGACTGACTGACTGAGAGGTGGACAGTGCAAGGGGAGGAGGAAGGGAGAGAGATGTAGAGAGGGAAGGGAGAAAAGGGGAAAGGTGGAGAGAGAGGGAGGGAAGGGAGGAGGAAGAAAGGGTGCTACTCAGCCAGCAGAGAGGGCTCCGGGAAAGCTCCAGATCTCTGATGAGGAAGGGAGGGATTAGAGGGAAATTTCTAAACCAGCCTGTCTGCTCTGATAGTGACCAGTCTCCCCATAGGGGAAGCATGCAAGAGGCGGGGTCAGTTGGAGGCATCAGGGCACGGACAGACTCAGGACCACAGCGTCCCCTGTACAGCCTCGGCCGAGGTTCCCGGCAGTGGGGAGCAGGGGCGAAGGCAGGACCCTACTGGGGTGTTGGGTCTACCTCGGGAATGAGGGACAATGACTGTGGAGACCACAGCTGTCCCCAGGCGGCCCGTGAAGTGGGCACCTCGAAGGGCGCAGCTGGAAAGGGCTAAAGGGGAGGAGCAGGAGCCGGAAAAGGTCGTGATGCAGATGCCCGGTGCTTGCTGGGAGCCCCACCCTGGGCTGTGTTTGTCATGGATGGGGCGGTGGGGCTACAAGCGTTTCCCGGGCTGCTTCCTGGGGGTGCTTCTGTCCACAGGGTGCCTACCTCGTGCTGGGGACTCCTCACACATGACCTGGTGGAACCTCAGGCCACCTGGGCACATCGGCAGAATCTCACACACACATATACACACCCATGAATGTACACATATGAACACACCCTTATCTCAAGAGAAGCAGTGGTCCTGGGGACACTGCAGAGCTGGGCCTGGCCAACCCCAAAGCCTGTGTTTTTTCCATGCACAGAAGACAGCAGCTGCCTCAGAACCTGGAGCTGGAAAATCCTAGAAGCAAACTGGCACGCAGCCTTCCTGGAACCGGGTGTCCTCTCCGCCTCCTGCCCCCACTCCCTGGGTGGGAAACCCTGGGCTGCCTTTGAGGGAGACCCCAAGGGACGGGGGGCAGGCAAGGCGGCCACTGGTCTCTCCCTCCCCTTCTCTCACGGTGACATCTGAGCTGCAGCCCGCTCTGCCTCCTCCCCACACCCGTCCCAGCAGCTGTTGTCCTGGCACATTCCTGGGCGCTTTCTCATTCCCACGTAGTCAGAGGCCTCGCTGCTTCCCACCACCTTGAAGCCTGATGGCTCCTTGTAAAATTTCCTGGCTGTCAGGGCTGTGCTTTTATTGGCCCAGGGGACACAAAAACAGGTGTCACTCAAGGTCCAGGGCAGGACGCGGTCTGGGAATGGAGGAGCTGCGGAGCCCAGCCAAACCCGAGCGAGAGGCCAAGGCCACCACTCTGTGTGACTTGGGACTGCCCTGTGCACACTAACAGGGCTGGACCTGGCCTGGGGGCTGGAAGTGCCCCCGGTCAGGGACAGTCTCCCCTCCTTGCCTCAGAGCTTCCTCAGCCCCAGTGCAGGAGGGAGGCAGATGTGTTGAATTTTAAATGATGAACAAAAAGCCTTTACCCTGGAGAGAGGACTCGGGTACACGGCTGCTCCGAGAGGCCCCTAGGGGGGATGAAGGTGGACAGCACAAAGCCTCAAGGCCAGCAGCGAGGTCTGCAGCAGAGACCCCAGGACTGAGTCCCTCCTCTGACCAGCTGCCACCTTTAGCAGGCCACTGTCCTTCCCTGAAGTTAGTTTCTATCTGCAACTAAGGAGTAGGACTCGGTGGTCACTAAAATGTCCTCACGCTCTGGGGTCCTTACCTGTTGACCATCAAGGCTGCCTGGAGAGGTGATGAGATCCCTGTCACTAGAAGTGTTCGATCAAAAGCAGTGTCCAGTCAATCAGGGACTCTAGTGAGGGAATTCCTGCCTCAGAGAGCAGGGCAGGGACCTCCGAGGCCCCTGAGCATCGCTGAGGTTCTGTGGCTGTGTCCTGCGAGCTTTGGTCTCTGGCTGTGAGTCTGTGGTGCTGGGGTTTTTCAGGGCTACAACAGCTTGTCACAGTGCCCTGGGGAGGTGGGTGCATGGGTGGACTAGTTCAGGGTGGGCTTGCAGCCAGACACTTGGGCTGGATCCTAGCGTAACTGCTCAGCTCCTTGCCTCTGCTCTTGGTCTGCAAAATAGAGATGAGTCAGGTGCACACCCGTCATCCGAGCATCCTGGGAGGCTGAGGCAGGAGGATACACGTTTAAGCCCAGCCTGGGCAACTTAGTGAGACGTGGTCTTGGAATAAAAAACAAAAAGAGGCTGGGGATGTAGCTCAGTGGGTTTGATCCTCAGTGCCACAAAACCCAGAAAGAGAGAGAGAGGGAGAGAGAGAGAGAGGTCTGTCTTGTTCTAGGATTAAGTGATTTTTTAAAAAAACCTTCCAAAATGCCCAGCTCACAGAAGTGCCCAGTGCAGTGGAGGGAGGGGGCTTGCTATGAAGACCCCACCTGTCTTGAAGTCCCAGCCCTGCCCCCTTGCAGTTCCATGCCCGTTCCTCTGGTGGTCATCTGTGGGGCACTTGCTGTTTGCCAGCTGCTGTCCTAGGCACTGGGGACTCAGTGGGCAGCAGTGCCTGTGGCCAAGGAGCTGGCGTTCTGATAAACACACGAGCAGGTAAACCTTGCGTCCGCTAAGGAAAACCAGCTGAGAGCCCCTCCTCTCCTTCCAGCCCTGCTCCCCACAGGGGCAGCCTCCTCTGGAAGCCCGTGTGACATTATCTTGTGCCACAGAGCCCTATGCAGCCAGCAAAAAGCCAGAGCCCCAGGAAGCGGTGTCAGGCAGAGGCAGCGTACCTGGGGACCCACGGCTCCTTGGGAGGAATTCCCACTTTAACAGCTGGTGCCCTGACTCTGCCTCTATCTTCCTAGGGGCTGCCAGACTGGCTGTGTCATGAGCACACAATCCTGAGCCCATGAGCACCTTCTAGAAACACAGGCCCAGGAGACGGAGCTGCTGGGCCCTGGGGTCACCCCGTGGCACTTCCTACACCTGACTATGAAGGTGCCCCTATCCCCTGGTGATGAACACCAAGAAATCAGGCAGTCATGCAATAGCGCTAAGCTAGACATCGTGATTGCAAATGGGAAGCCTGCTTTTGGCTTTGGTTTTTCTGAACAAAAATCCCACCGTGAAGACACTAGAGGGGGCCACACATTAACACCACACGCTGTATGGTGGCACAGCACCTCGGGACGCGTGTGATATGTCAGGCAGGCTGCTCGCACCCTACAGTGTCCCCCTTGGTTCCCCCCACCCAACCCGAGGAGGTAGATGTCATTTTCTTCTCCATATGACAGGTAGGGACCCACCAAGTGGCTTCCTAGAGACACAGCAGTGACTGCTCTGGGCTTCAGCCCCAGGTCTACCAGGTCGATCAGCTCTGCAAACAGATGTGCCTGACTGTGCTTTGCCCCGAGGCTGGGTGTTGTGAGGAGCAAAAATGGGTAATTGGGCTAGGGCTGAGGCTCAGCGGCGGAGCCCATGCTTCATCTGTGCAGCAGGAACACAACTACAAACCCAGCCCCTGCTTTCAAAGAGCGCAGCCCTGATCAGGGCGTCTGGGTGCGGTGCTGGGCGGCTGCTGCCTCTCTGGAAGCTCCTTTTTCTATCTTGAGCTTGAGCTGGCCAAGGGCCCTCCTGGCTCAGCTGTGTCTCAGGTCATCCTGCAGGATGGCAAATGGATGCCAGCATGGTACTAAGCACTCTCAGCCCGTGTAACTCACCTGAGGTGCACAGCAACCTCAGCATGGTGTTGTTAGCCCCATTCTACAAGACAGGCAAAGAGTCATCATGGGGTCCCCTCTGGTAGCTAGAGCTGGAGGCGGAATTCAGAGGCGGGCAGGTGACTCTAGAGTCCCTGCTCAGAGCCATCAGACTTCATGCTGTGAGAAGGGAGGTGGCCTGGGGAAACAGGACCAGGGAGGAAGAAGAGAGGCGGAAGCTGCTCCAGGGAGCCCTCCTGGACTCTGCAAAGCCAGGCGGGAAACCCCTCCTGTGGCCTCTTTATGGAGCCTTGGGTGTCACCCATCGAGCTCACTGTCTGTTCCATGCCAGGTAGAAGGCAGCCCCAGGTCCCGTGCACCTCCATCCCCAGGTCTTGCTGGCCTTAGAAGGCTGATGAAGCTTTGGGGTAAGGAGAGGAAAGTTAAGAGGAGAGAGATAGGACAAGGAAGGGCAGGACAGGGAAGGAACAGAGCGAGGCGGACAGCTTCATTTAAGGCGCAGACCAGCCACACCTTGGGTACAGCTGCTCTCCGGCCAGCTATAGCAGCCGACTCCAAGGCTTCTGTCACATTCATGTTTTACCTATAATTAACTGCTTCTCCCCCGCACCCCTGAAACTGGGGCTTGAATCCAATGGCACTCTACCACTGAGCTATGTCTCCAGCCATTTTTATTTAATTTTTTTATTTTGAGACAGTCTCAATAAGTAGCCCAGACTGTCCTGCTTAGGATCCTCCTGCCTCAGCCTCCTGAGGATCTGGGATTATAGATGCATCACCACACCTGACTCTTTAATAAAATCAACATATTTTAAGAGAAAAGCATGTATCACTTCTGTAAAGATAAGGCTGTGTAAAAAGACTACATGCAGGCTAATGTCTGTCACCTGCAAAGGCTCCACCCTGTGTCCCCAGTGTTCACAGAGGGTGACCTCAGCTCTATTTGCATATCTGGGCTAGGGTGCCCTTGTGGACCCCGTCAGTGCATTGGGGACGTGGGGAGAAGCTGAGACTTTGGTTTTGTTTGTGAGCCCGTGGCTCCCCGCCCCCATGTAGCTCCTCCTCTCTTTCCCTTGGGAACCTAAATGGGTCAGAGCCTCGGCTCTATCCCTCCAGCTCAAAACCAAGTGCAGCTCCTCCCCCGGAAGGACCGAGAGAGAACCGCAATGTCATGGGTACAAAAGTGCCCTCCAGCCAGCCGGCCTGCTTTCGGTCCCCAGCTTTGGGTGTCAAGGATGACTGGGTGCCAGAGGAGGCTGGGTTTGTCACCCTTCCGGGAGGAACCCCAAGAGCCTTGGCCCCAGCAAAGACACCCTCTAAGGTCTTTCTTGTTCATTCACTTGCTTGTGCATCAAATCAGTAATATTCGGTGTGCACCTGGGAGTGTCCAGCAGTGAATATGGGGTGCAGACCACCTGCCCCTTGGGGTCTGGGGCAAAGAGTCCCTTGGACTACAGGAGACCCAAGGATGACGAGGTGGGTGGGGAGGAAGGGTGCTCAGGAGGAGGAAACAGCATGTACAGAGTCCAGAGGAACAAAAGGACCCCTCCAAGAGGCTCACCTCACACCTACGTTCTCCTTTTCTTCTGACCTGTCCCAGGGACTTTGCACACCCTGACGAGTGGGCTCAAACTTAAGTCCGATTTAAGCCTGAACCTCATTTCCACCACAGGCTGGCTACATGGCCCTGAGCACAAGCTATCTGACCTCTAAACCTCAGTTTCTGCTCCTGTAAAGTAGGGACGGGACAGTGTGTCTCACGGGCCTATGCAGACAGATATGTAAATGCCAGCCCAGTGTCAAGAGGAGAGGGAGGCTCAAAGATATGAGGTTAGTGCTCCACTAATGTGTAATAAACCCCTGGGTGTGTTTCCCATTACAAGAGGCCAGGCTGTGTAAGCAAAGCAAAGTCTCAGGCCCCAGATAAAAAGTGAGCTTGCACAGCTGAGTCTGGAGGGGGTTCCCATCCAGGTGGGCTCCAGATGTGGCATCCTCCCGGAGGGCTTCCTGGGGGAGGTGGGGGTGGGGTGTTTGGAAGCTAACCCGTCCGGCAGGGGCTGGAGCAGGTGCAGCGGGGACAGCACGGGACTGAGAGTCACCCACACCTGTCACCCCGTCTTGTGGCCAAGTCACCTACTTCCTCTAGGCCTCACTTTCATCTGGGAAACAGTGCTAAGAACCCTGCCCTGGGTGTCTGTGAAGTCACTCTACAAACCATCAGGGTTGGTCACTTTTCTGTTGCTGGAAAAGGTCAGGAGGACCTGCCACTTAAAGAGGCAAGGTTTAACTTGGCTCATGGTTTTAGGGGGTTCACTCCATGGCTGGCTGACTCTAGGGTAGGAACAGCATGGCAAAGGGCGGAGTGAGGGCTGGCTGCTCAACCTATGACAGCCAGGAAGCAGAGGGAGAAAGAAGGGAGGCTCTGGGGACGATAATGCATCCTCCCAGGCATCCATCCTCCCGCCTCTAACCAGGCCCCGCCTCCCAGCAGCCCAGTCCGCTCTGCAGTCACCTGTGGAGGAGTCGCTGATTGACACATCACCCCACGATCCCAATCGGCGGGAACATTTTAGATGTAACCCTAATACCATCCGTGCTGCAGGAGGGTGAATTTCCTACCTGGAGGAGGATGCTGGCTGGATCAAAGCCGGATGGCTCGGAGGGCTGATTCTAATTGTGTTTCCACCAGGCCTGGCTGCTTCATTTTCTGCCTTTCCTCCCCCAGGTCTGGTTCAGTAACCGCCGCGCCCGTTGGCGCAAGCAGGCAGGAGCCAACCAACTGGCAGCATTCAACCACCTTCTGCCAGGAGGCTTCCCGCCCACTGGCATGCCCACGCTGCCCCCCTACCAGCTGCCGGACTCCACCTACCCCACCACCACCATCTCCCAAGGTGAGTGTCCAGCACCCCTTGTCCCTACACTCCCCAGCCTCTCTTCTCTTCCTTTCCCTTACAAGAGTTACTCTTTTTTTTTTTTTATGACTCTTTGTGTACTTTATTGTGGGCAGACTATTGGTAACAACAAAGGAAAGCCCTGCAGTCCTGCCCTTGAAGTTCTCGGCTCTGCCCAGAGGCTGCAGCGGGTAAGGGGGGGTCCGTAGGCAGCCCCCGTGCACCTGTTAAGACCTGAGCTTTGCAAACCGTAAAGTAAACACAGATCTGGAATCTTATTAAAATGCTTGCCTGCTCCTTGGTGAGGCCCAGGCTGCTGGCCCAGGGGCAACACTTTGAGCGTCCAGGATCCGGAGCGTGGAGCAACTTTAGAGGGAAAGGATCAGAAGGTTCTTCGAGGGTCCGTGTGTAATCAGTCTGGAGTTTTTAAAATGTGAGGGTGGAATGGTTTTCCGTGTGTGTGTGTGTGTGTGTGTGTGTGTGTGTGTGTGTGTGCATGTGTGCACAGGTGCTGGCAGGCTATTAGGACATTTTTCGAGATCAAGTTAACCTCCAGTCTACATCAAATACAAATGTACAAAAGGGCTTCAGTAATTTTGTGGGATCTCGTCTTCTTGCTCCTCTGTTGATTGAAAGGGCCGTTTTCAGAGACGGACTAAAGGTCAGGCCTCTTTGGAGGACCTGAAGAAACTTTTTCAGCCTGTCTCTTTCCGGAGGGCTGAAGGATCGACCCTTCCTTGCCCCATCCTGGCTGTGCTGAGCACGGTCAGGGCCCTGAGACCATCCTGGGGAGCAGGGGTCCGTGGGCCCTGTTCTCAAAGCATAATCTTGCACCTGGCCTTGGAAGGAGGATGGACAGAGCCAAGAAAGTGTAAGTGGCAGAAGAAGGGAAGGTGTCCAGGGGAGATGGCCTTGTAGGGGAGAAGGGCTCCTTCCCCCCCTTCTAGACCCTGCCCCAGTGTCTCCCCGCCTTGGTCCACACAAGGAAACGGTTGCTTGCCCTCTGCCTCCAGACCTCCCCTGGCAGGCCAAGGACAGTCAGGGTCCCTAAGCTGGAAGGTTTTGCAGAGGAGCCTGGACTGATTAGCACAACATAGCAGCTAAGAGCAGAAATGGTTCCAGAGTTGGGCTGTTCAAAGCCTTGCATGAACACCCAGCTCCTCTCAGCTTGTTTCTTGGTCTATAAATGAGTCATCCTCTTCTTCATGCCTGTGGAGGCCACTGGGCAATGGCCAGTGCTCACAAGATATGAACAGGACTAGCCTGGGTGGATTATTATTAGTGTGCCCAATGAGGTGTGGGGTTCAGTGCAAATTACATTTATTGAGCATCTACTGTATGCCTAGCACCGTGCAATAAGTTGCCTAGAGGATGTCTTGAATTTTGGTTGGGTATCAGGCAAGACCTGGACAGTCCCTGGTGCTGTCCAGAGCCAGCATGTCCCATCCCAGGTCACCTAAGAAGGTAGTCCCTTCCTCCCAAGGGATAGCAGAGGAGGCTTATGGCTCTTTCCTGCCTTGGGAGCCCCAGCCTCCAGGATAGAGCCACCCACTCAGCGTCTCTGGGTCTTTCCACAGATGGAGGCAGCACTGTGCACCGGCCCCAGCCCCTCCCGCCGTCCACCATGCATCAGGGTGGGTTGGCTGCGGCCGCCGCGGCTGCGGACACCAGCTCTGCCTATGGCGCCCGGCACAGCTTCTCCAGCTACTCTGACAGCTTCATGAATCCGGGGGCCCCCTCCAACCACATGAACCCCGTCAGCAATGGCCTGTCTCCTCAGGTAGGGCCCCGTTCCCTTCGGCCCCGTGTCCCTCCAGCTGGTGCTGAATTCACGGGTCTCCAGGAAGCCCTGGAACCTGGAGGGTTCTAGTGGAAGAATCATTGCTCCTTTCACCCTCCCTTGTCACTGTGTCATGGCGCTGGGTTGGTCCGCCTCAAACCGACACAGGTGGAGGAAAGGATTCCTTTCCCTTGCCACCCAGAAATAAACGGGTTCTTTTATGGACTTGCTCCCAGCCCAGCAGTGCCCCGCTCACTTCATGAAAGTCAGACACATGCAGATAGAGTGCACCAGTGCAAACGCTGGGCTTTGACTTAGAACCAGGAGCCCTTCCTAGATTCCATCCTGTGCTCCTTCTGGTGAGGTTCTGACCAGGAAGTGTGCTCTGATTGGGTCGGGAACAAGTTCACTCACATGTGATTGGCTGCTGGTTGCGTCACTGATTGCCTAGTGGTGCTCATGGAAGTCCTAGGACCTGCTTTGGGTGACACTGGAAAGAGCGCTGGGCTTGTGGTAGAGATTGGTGGATCTGGCCAGCTGGACTCCATGACACCGGAGGTCCCGGTGAATTTGAGGAGCTACTGGGCTTATCTTTGTGGCTATAGCAGCTGCCCAGATGCCCATGGAGGAAGGAGTTAAAGCTGAGATTGGTTCTATTCCGTCTCCCACCTGCTGAGGACACTCCCCGCTCCTCTTTCCTCTTGTCTGTGGGGAGACTGTGGACGCGCGATGAAAACTGATCCGAACAGCTGTGGTGCGATGGAAGAGATGCAGGCTTCGGGCTGGGTTTGAAGCCCAGCTGTGCTGCTCAAGGTGCCCTTGGGCCAGGGAGCCTCTGGGAGCCTCAGTTTATCCCTTGATAAACAATGGGACTGTTACTACCCTCCTACCAAAGCACGTTGGCTGAATTCGGTGTGCTAATGGATCAAAGCCCCTGCTGGACAGCCTGCCACAAAAATAGGCCAAGTAAATGCTAGACATCTTATCCTCCTATTGCTGGATGATATAATTAACATAGAAAGCCTGTTAACTTTATGGAAAGGAAGGAGCTAGAGGAGGACCACAAGCAACCCTTGTAGACCTCATCAATCCTTGTAGACTTGTATAAATAAAGTTTTATTAGAATATAGCCATGTCCATCCTCTCATGGCTGTGTTTTTCTAACAACAGCAGAGCTGACTAACTTTGAAAGAGACCATAGGGGACACAAAGCCTAAAATACTTCCCAGCTGGCCCATACAGATAAAAAAAACCTCTAACTTCTAAACAGTCCTGTCTCTTTTCTGCATCTGGGTTCTTTCCCATGGCTCTGTTAATCTGCACACTTGAGGTAGAACTGCATTTCCATTCCAGCGGTTACTTGCAGGGAAGGCCCAGGGATGGTTCCTTTCCCTTGCCATGCCTTGATTTTCTCATCCATAAAATGGGGATAATTGGAGTTTGAATGAAAGACCTCATGGCATGAGGTGCTCAGCTGAGCCTGTCACAGTGAGTGCTGGGAGAGGTGAGGTGCCAGACACATAGCCCCTAGTGGTGACACTGCTGCCTGTTGAGCTTCTGGGCCCCAGCAATGGGCCTGCTGGCCTCTTCTGCTCCGTTCCTAGTATCCCAGATGCACAAAACTGCATTCAGAATGCTTTCCCAGCACAGCTAATTAGCCACTTTCTGGGCTTCAGGGTTCATGACCTTGAGCTAATTGTCCAGGCTGACTTTCCAGAGCTGGGATGGGAAATAAACACGATAAGGTGCCGGAACCTTCTAGCAGAGGCCCCTGCAGAGACCTGGAATGGGGCCCAGGCTTGGCCTGGTGGGAAAAAGCACACTGGGAGGAACATCTTCAGAGAGCCGAAGGGGGATCTGGGGAGTGGGCGGAACAGCGGTCACACTGTGCAGTGCCTGTAGACACTGGCTGGCCGGGGCTGAGAAGCCAGTGCCTGAGTCCCTAACCACTGGTCTTCCCAGCTCACTCTGTCTCATTGTCCCGAAGCAGGACTTTTATCGAGCAAACGAGGGGGTCCCTGGCCTCTGGAGTGGGGTACGGGATGCGGTTATAAGCAAAGAGGGGGAAGAAGAAAACATGACCCGCTGGTGTGAGACGTTACTTTACAGGGGATTCTCACCACCAAGTTTAAAGACGTGGGGTGGGATGTTGTGTTTTTAACCCTGCCTGGAAGTTTCCGAGTGGGATTCAGGGTTCCTCTGCCCAGTGAGAAACTAAAACACAAAGCCAGAGGCCCTCGGGAGGCTGAGGGCGTGATGAACTGGGTGAGCCTGGGACTGCCCGGAGTTCCCACCAAAGGTGCGAAGACAGATGGAGGGTGTGAGGGGGGCAGAGGGGACCAGGAGGGGGGCAGCTGCTGGGGGGGCGCCGAGCAGGGCAGAGGTGGGCTGTGGGCTGTGTGTCTGGGTGTGTGACCCCCCAGGGCCTCCCTCTTGAAGGGAAGTGCAGAAAGATGGGGGTGAGTGGGGCCCAAGTTCCCAGCTTTTCAAAGCCCACCCGCAGGTTTGCACCCTTCTCTCTCTAACCCCAGGGGCACCTTTGAGGCACAACTCTGGGGTCGTGGGAAGGGTGGGGCCAGGATGTCCACTGTGTGGGGAGATGATATGGGAAAGTTCACTTCCAGTGCCCCCCAGCGCCCTGCAGGAGGGTTTCCCTGCAGCTATCCCGGGCAAGAGGGAGAAGATGGGGTCTCCACCTGTTACCCCCATTGCAGGTCTTGCCTGCCACCCCAATAGCTTTGGCCCTCGGAACTAGGAGGTCTTTTTGTTCTTGCAGAAGCTGCTGGGGAGATGAAATTGGGGTTACAGAGCTGCCGTTCAGACCCAGGACAGGCTGCTCATTGCACTGGTGGCCGGATGTGCCTGTAGGGGAGATGTCCTGGGCTCCTTGTCACCAGCTGGCCTAGAAGTGGAACCCCAGGGACTCCCTGGAGAGACCACCCAGCAGGATTCTGCAGCAAAGTTGTCCTGTGCTGAGTTCAGCTCAGCACCTGCGCCCCCTCAGTAGAGCTGATGGTACAAGGGGCAGACACACAAGGAGCGAGTCACATGGTGTGTCTAACATGACACTGACGAGGACAGAGACATGTTGCAGCTCCTGCGATGTTCAGATTCCGGTCCGATTAGTTCACATATTTTAAGCCACCTACGGGGTAGAGCCAGGATGGAAGCCCAGATCTCCAGAGCCTGTGACCTTAGCCCCTCAATGTGTCCTCTGGCCACTGAGAAACTCCCACCCCTGCACAGTGTGGCGGAGGGAGGAGTTCATGCAACCCATATAGCAGATGGGAAAATGGAGGCCGAGGAGCCCAGGTAGCAAATGCCACTGCTAAGGCAGATGTGCAGGTTTGGTCCCCTTCTAGCCTCCACCCTACATTGTAGAACCAAACCCTCAGCACTCAGCTTGCGCCTGAGCTTTGTGCACTGGGTCCTTCAGGAGGATTTGGAAGCAGGAGAACCTCGAGTTGGAGCCTACCTTGGACAACTTAGTGACTTAACAAGCCTTGCTTCAAAATGAAGTGGGCGTAGAGGGGTTGTGGGTGTAGCTCAAAGCAAAGTCCCGCAGTTCAGTCCCCAATATTAGGAGGCAGAGAGTAGGAAGGAAAAAGAACCCGGCCTGCTCGAAGTTTAAGATTCAAAGACTGCAGCCCACTGTCTCCCCTCTGCTCCAGGCGAGGGGTCAGTTTTTTAGAAAAGGACTCTTAGGAAACAGTTCAGTATAATCTGGAACGAAAGACGCCTTTTCTTTTTTCTTTTTTTTTATTTAAGGAGAAAAAAGAAAAAAAAACAGAAAAAGGATACAAGTTATACATAATTTCAGAAAAAATAAACAGTAGGAAATCACTACTAGTGAGCTGAACTAGTAGGAATCACAATTACATATTGTCATCTTAGAAATAGTTGTTGAAGTTACAAAATTAAAGCATATAAAGTGGACTTTCAAACAGTGAGACTGCAAACAGTTTTGTTCATGACCCAACAAAACTCAGTAATGTGGTTATCTATCTTATACACTTGAAAGACGCCTTTTCTAACATGAATACTTCAGATGATGGAGTGCAGTACATACAGAGATGGAGTCTAATGGGGAGATACCAGCTCATCTCTCGGAGCTTGAAGCCTAGAGGCGGAGGCAAACCTTGCCCTTAGATGGCCTTGGGCATCTGACGTGGACACATGGGCATCTCTTAGAGATTCCATGTGACGGGGGCACAGGCATCAAAAACCTCTTCAGAGATACAGGTTTTAGCGTCCCCAGGCTCCAAGCAAAGACCCAGAGGCAAAGTTCTGTTAGTTTGGGGGTCCTTTGGTCTAAGGGTCCAGGCAGGGCGCCCTGAGCTGGAGCTTGATCCTGAGGTCCACGTGTTTGTGAACTTTCTTCTCTGCCAGCCTTTCCTAGACCCAGTTTCTTAAAATTTTCACAAAGTCACGCTGTTGGATTAAGGCTTGGACTTCGGTCCCTGATCGAGTGCTCCTGACTCTGTCATTTCTGGGGTCCCACACCCCTCACAAGGTCCCTCATTCATCACCACCTCCTTTGTTCTCTGGCGCTTAGTATGAAAGACCCCACAAAAAGGATTTACGTATTTACAGTGACCCCCAACCAATGCAAAACTAAGTGTGTCGTCAATCACGTGGCCTCGCGCCCAGCGAATCAAGCCTTCTGGTCCCCCTCACCACTTGATGTTGTCCTGTCCTTCCCTCCTGTGCGTCATGATTGTGGGGACCGAGGCTGGCGCTGCGTTTCAGGAAAAAGGCTCAGCATGCAAGAGGCCCTGGTTCCATCCACAGCGATGCCAAAGTACAAAATAGTGACAGAGACGGGCAGTGCGGAGCCAGGCACACAGCGGCAGGATACGCTGCGTCTCCTTCAGGAGGCAGGTGGGGATCCGGGGCCATCATCTGATAGGGGACGCAAGCAGGCTGTCCGGGGTGGTCTGTTCACCTTTCTACCCAGCCATCTACTGAATGCTTACTGAGCTCTGTGCCAGCCCTGTGCT